TGCTTGGTGCCAGACCTCAGTACAGAGCATGGCCTGGAAGTGTGTCCTAGAATGGCCTAAAAGAGAGAAGAGGTTTAGGGCAAAAGGTGGCAGTTTCATTCTTGGAAACGAAATTTCATCTTGGAAGCTTAAAATTCCAAGCTTATCGCTGTATCTCCAGCACTGATTGATAATGCAGGTAAAGGGATGACTTTATCATTTTATCGCTGAAAGAGAATAACTTTGCATCACTTATATACCTTAGTTGGGTAAGGTCATTTTTTTTTGTGAGTTTTTTATTTTATTTTTTTCTTATACTTTTGGAAGGCATTTAACAACAAAAGAAGATTTTTTTAGAGCAAGAGAACCCGCCGGCAGGCCTGGGTGTGAGGGGGCAAGAGAAAAAGGGATGGGGAAGATCTTAAGCAGACTCCCCACTGAGCGCAGAGCCAGATTTGGGGGGCAGCCACCATCTCACCACATTGAGATGCCTCTAGAAGGCATTTTGGATGAAAAAAAAATCAGAACTCCGTAAGCCCCAACCTCCAAAGGCTAGTCTGAGGGCTGCACCCATAAAACAACTGGCCTGACAATGTTATTTCAGGGTTGTGTACATCACATACTTAACCCTGTATTCCCTGAAGGTCACGATCTTCAAGTAGGAGGGGTGACAAAAAGGGGAGGGGCATGTTAGAATTTCCATGGTAAAGTCTGTGGTGTGGTGAAGAAAGACTATTCTACAGACTATTTTCATGATACAAAATAGAGAACTTAAAACTTGACGAAATCTTTGCCAGTAAGGGGCTATGCGAGGTTTAAAGAGGGGAAGTTAATTAAAGTAAGCTAATTTAAATAAAAATTGGGAAATTTCTTAATATTAAGCTGGCCTAGAGAATTTATCTACTGGGGCGTCTGGGTGGCTCAGTCAATTGCAACCCACTCTTCGTGTCAGCTCACATCATGATCTCCTGGTGGTGGGATAGAGCACACACACCTCCACGCACACACACCTGGGGCTGGGCCAGGAGTCTGCTTGTCTCCTGCCCCCCCCACACACACACACATACACATAAATAAACCTTTGAATAAATAAAAAAGAATTTATCTACTAAGAAGGGACTTAGGTAGAGAAAATAGTCACATAAAAGCATAAAATAGGGCATTAACTGATGGAAACTTCCTCGCTGAATGATAGTTGAATTAACAGTTAATCAACATCACATTAGGAGACTTCAACTTTAGGCGATGAATGATAGACTAGATTCCCGAAACTGAGGAACTAGATCATGAAATTCACCTTTCATTTCTATTTTTAAATCCAAATAAACTTAGATTTAGATTCAAAAGCAGACAAGTATTCATGATTTTATCCTAAATAACTGCCTTTTATTTTCAATGCCTGTTGTAGCTTTACCTCATGTCACAATTTAATCCCTCTTTACACTTAATTTAATGCCCAATTTAATCTCAATATGACAGCTAATAATTAAGAGAACTCATGTTGTGTAGCATACTGTTTGGTTGTGTTGGTCATATATATGTGTTGTGTACAATATTGTTTTGTACCGTGCAATTTAATGAACAGTGCCATTTGATATGTTTATTAAGGAAGAACAAAAAACCTACCTACCATCTTTTGAGAGTTAAAACATAGGTTTTCATGGTGATGGTGTGAATAGCAAAGGATTTTACATGCTTCAGAGGCCTGCTTTTAGTATGTACAAATGTGCAAACCTACAGATTATGTGTATTTTACATGTACAGATCTGGGCAGTATGTATACAAATCTGAAATAATCAGAGATATCAGAAAGGGACACAGAACATAAAGACTTCTAACTCTGGGAAATGAACTAGGGGTGGTGGAAGGGGAGGAGGGCGGGGGGTGGGGGTGAATGGGTGACGGGCACGGAGGGGGACACTTGACGAGATGAGCACTGGGTGTTATTCTGTATGTTGGTAAATTGAACACCAATAAAAATTAATTTATAAAAAAAAAACAACAAATCTGAAATAATCATTTTGTAAGTATAATATGTGGATTAATAATTTGTATTCGTGGTTTTCGTCCTTTTCCCCCCTTTTGTCATGGAATCTTTCAAATGAATTCTTACTTGGAAGCCTAATTTGCAAAACAGACACAGGTAGCTCCGCTCTGATCAAAGTGTTTGTTGGGGCTGGAAATGGGGGTGGAGGGCCCAAAGGTAGCCTTTTAGATTCACTCTCAGTGGCCTGCAAGCCCATTCATGGAGCCTCTAGAATTTCTGGAGCACAGTTTGAAATTGTTGTCCTATGTAATGCCCTATATTTGTGGTGGGCTTTTATATGTGATAGTATTTCATTCCCACAATATTCAGTGTTTTCTCATTTTACAGGTGAGAAAACAGGGACTCAGATCAATTCATTTTCCCATTGCCACATAATTATTGAGTGATTAGATTTAGGGCTTGAACCCAAATCTTCTGCTTTGACTTGTTTTTCTCATTAATTCATACTGTCTGTAACAATAGAACATATGCTCAGGATGTTTTCTAACATCCAAGTAGGATGAAGAAGAATTTATGTAAAGCATGAACGTTTCTTAATGTTATCCTTCTACAGCAGAAGTGAGTGATGACAGTCACGTGCACCACAGGCCTATGGCTCACCCAGGTCACCGATTGCAGAGGGCTGGGATACATGTGTAATCCCCACCTGTAAATCTGGCCCTTTCTTTCCTACTTGAGGAAGCACATTGGAGGACAGGGTGATGTTATTATCAAAGTCAATTTTTATTTATGAACAAGATGAACAGTTCACCCCCTGCCTTTGGGAACCACCAGTCTGTTCTCTATCCATGGGTTCAGGTTTGTTTTGTTTTAAATTCCATATACGAGTGAGATCATACAGTATTTTCTTTCTCTGTCTGACTTATTTCATTTAGCATAATGCCCTTAAGGTCCATCCATGGAGCTGCAAATGGCAGGATTTCTTTCCTTTTCTGGCTGAGTAGTATTCCATTGCATATTTACACATTTTCTTTATCCATTCACCCAACAGTAGCCAGTCAGGTTGCTTCCGTGTCTTAGCTATTGTAAATAATGCTGCAGTGAACATGGGGGTGCATCTCTCTTTTTCAGTTAGTATTTTCATTTCCTCTGATAAATACCCAGAAGTGGATTTGCTGCATCATATGGTAGATCTATTTTTTAAAACTTTTTGAGGAAACTCCGTGCTGTTTTCCATAATGACTGCACCAATTTACATCCCATCAACAGGGCATAGGGTTCCCTTTCCTCCACATCTTCAACAATGCTTATTTCCTTTCTTTTTGATAAGAGTCATCCTAACAGATGGGAGGTGACATCTCATTGTGGTTTCGATTTACATTTCCCTGATAGTTGTGGCTCCTTCTTACTCCACATCGGGATGCTTTTAGGTCCTCAGAAGGAAAAGAAATGTAGAACTTGGAAAGCTCACCAGTGAACATCTGACCAGGGTTGAATGTACTTGCCACATGCAAGATTCAAGTGCTTCATCACAGATGAGTGTTGAATGTTATAATTCTGATTGCTACGTTGATTCCAGTTACATTACACACTTCCCCCATCTTCTGCCCAGGCATTTTGTTTTTCTTTCCTAATTTTCTGTTTTTCATTGACCCCTATTGAGTCTCTTCTCCCACTAAGGTAACTTTTTATTTCAATATTATACTCAAGATACTGATCACTAATTGCACTTCTTTAGTTATACCATCTCCCAACTGGAGGATGAAAAATAATTGTTTCCACTGATGATTAAAATACTGAAGTTTGTGAACTGTTCGTTCCTCTTTTTCATACATAGAAATGGAGTCAGATAATAACAGGATAAGACTTCTTAGACCCCCCTTCATAGGTTCATGTACATTGTAAAGCTGAGAGCATAAGGGAACCAGAAGCATTTTACAAACAGCTAAATTATCAACTCTTTTCCTTATCCTTTCATAACTCACTAAATACTGGAGTTCTGGAGAATGCTGATGTCCAGCAATGTTCCTAAGCAAGTTAGAAAGTTGGCAAATACCTCCTAATTAAGAAGAAAGCTCAACATACCTGGAAGCAAGCATAGTAATTTCACACTAATCGTCCTCTGCCTGACATCACACAGGACTGGGGTTCTATGGAACACCCTGGTCCTTTGGATCAGGCTGTTCTAGCACAGTTGTTTTTGCTAACCCACTGTGACCTAGAAATCCTCACCTTCCTTCCTGTGTTGGATTGACTTTCTCCACGTGGAGGGTTTTGCACTAAGCACTGGTTAGTCAGAGAGTCCAGAGCTGGTGGGAGTTGAAGAAGGAACTGAAGGGTCCTGCCCTCCACAAGCTTCCAGATCAGCACGTAGCCTCTGACCTGATTGCCAATGTTTCCTTGCACGGACTCTTCTGAACCTGTGGTTATGTTTGCACCTGTCTCATAATTCTTACCATGTTTTGCTTTGTACAGTAGTTATTTTAAATTTAATATATATTAATGTATTAATAGATAACTCTATTAGTTTTCTTTTTAATTGGGAGGTGTCTGCCAATTACCGGCTTGCTTAATAACATTGATAAAATACCTGCATTCCCTAGAACTCCAGTGTTTTGTGAGATATGAAGAGGTAGGGGGAAAGTCCTTCATTTAATTGTTTGTAAAATGCTCTGGTTCCCTTGTGCTCAGAGCTTTATAATGTACATGAACATATCAAGGGGTCTGAGCAGTCTTGTGTTGAAGACACCTGTATACCTTTTTAAAACTTCAATTGGATATTAAATATTTCCAGATATTTGCTAAATGCTATTCAGGACAAGGAAGGGAGTCTTGCCTTCAGAGCAATTAGCATCCAAGGTAAAAAGTAATATATTAGAAAGGTAGTTATTGATTTATTTTTTTAACAAACTGATGAATAATTGACAAAAGTTTATATATTGTAAGGGTACAACATGATACATACACATTTTGAAATGACCACCACAATCAAGTTAATTAACATCCATCACATCACATAGTTACCTTTTATTTTTTTAATATGGGACACTTCGAAAATTTGCATGTCATCCTTGTGCAGGGGACATGCTAATTAATCTCCGTATCATTCCAGATACAGAATATCTGTATATGTGCTGCTGAAGGGACACTAGTCATTATTAGCACAAGTCTTAAATCCCCTGACTTAGGAAGAAATGTAAAAATTTTCCATTAGTTGTAGGCATTTACACACACACTGTCTGATGGTGTGTTTTCCTTTGCCATGCCCTCCCAGCCTCCAGTCCCAGAGAGGAAATGAAAGACTTCTAATTTAGCTTCAAAGTCATGTTTCTTTGTACATAGAAGTATGACCGTGTCTAAGGTGCCCTGAACCCATTTTTAAATTAAATGATTGGAAGGAGAGGTAGGAAACTTAATATTAATGTCCTGTAGTTTTTCTTTACAAACTTTTGGGGTTATCCTTTATTTCTGAATTGTTTTCTTCTTCCGCATTTGTTTTTCCACTTACAGCTAATAACAAAATGAAATGAAAGTGGAACTATTAAAAAGAAAATAATTAACAATTAGGTATTTAGAATACTTAGAATTTTGCTTTATAAAAATATTGTTAAAGCTATTACTCATGTTGAAGTTTTAGCATTCATTAATGTATGTATTTTGTGCAAAATCAGCAAATTCCACATTCCCAGTTTGGCTGTTATACACACAAATTAATGAATGTACTTTAATGAATTTGATTAATATGCAGCAGTTTAAGATCCATTTTGTATTATTAGCCCATGAAATGTTCCTCATTGAATGCTGCTGAATCAGAATGCTGTATTTGCCTGGGAAGGCTCTCTCTCTCTCTCTCTTTCTCACACACACACAGACGCTCTTCACAAATAATGTAAAGCTAAGATTTTCATAATTATCATAATTCACTCATTAAGATATTAGCAAACTGTCACAACCACAAAAGATTCTCTGTGCATGGAAATTTCCATCTTTTGCCTGCACCCAAGATATACATGCAGTGCCAGTGCCAGAGAATGTTAAATGGAAACCCTACTTCTGCATTTTATTAGCAAATTTTGCAAACTACAAACAGCTTGAGTGTTGTATAAATTTATAGTTGTACTTGCACATTTGTGACGGTGGTTTTCGGCATGCAAGTTTTATCTAAGAGCTTTTACTGGGGACTGCACAGAGCAATTCCAAAACCTCAAAACTAAAGGAAAGTAAAATTGAAGTGCCTTTACAATTGTGTGATTTATACATTAAAGTATTTATTTTAAAACAAGATTAAAAATACTGCACTCCTAGAAACATTCTCTCCTGGTAGAAGCCGCTCAGATGGAAAATTTCATCTATTTCAAACTGATTTTTTGCCTGAGTGACTCTCAGATATTTTCCTAAAACCTAGTCATGTCAAACGATTTATTCTACGTTAATAATACTGTGCAGGTAGCCAGGAAGATTCAAGTGTTGAAGTGGTAGAAGGCAGTTGGCCAATTAGGTGCTCAACTATATTTTGATTTTCTCTGCTTAGACATACTTATTCTTTTCTTACCTTCTTATCCCCTACTCAACAGTACTTCTAGATGAGAATTTGTGCATATTTCTGTCCTAGGAATACTTAGCCAAATTTGAGGTATAGAATGCATTTTAGATCAAAATCCCAAATAAGGATAAGGCAGTGGAACCCATTTTCCCACTTTACAAGATAATAGAAGGAGCTCACCATGGCATACAAAGGGCACATGTATTTTCAATGTCCTTCCCAAGGCACCCCTTCACCCCCTTCACAGAGCAGTACCATCTGTGCCATCCCAAATGCCCCTAGTGATAGGGATGCATCTTATTAAAGATGACTGGCCTACAACAAGGCTACCTCATTATATAAGAAGTCATTTTTCAATGAAATAATTGATGCTTTTTCTTTAGACTTTTCTCTCTTAATTGAAAAATTATTATTTTTTTTGCTTCAGCTGTTACTGTGATTGACTCACCATTCTCTGGCAATGTATGTTATTTTTGAAAAATCGATTTTAAGGAAAATAGCATGCAAAATTTTCTTAACAGAAACAATTGGCCGGAAAGTTAATGGGAATCTATTCTCTGGATGGGTTCATGTCATGATCTTGAAATAAAAAGATAAAGGATGTGGTATGAGTCTTAATTTATGATCTCAAGAAGTATGTGAGAAAGCTACAAAAGGAAATCCAGACTTTGAAATTTGGAATTTGCTTTGGAAAAGGATGACATTCATAGCAATGAATGGTATGTTTTCTCTAGGGGTAGCTCTCAGTTATCTTGATTCTACTCAACAAATCAAAGAAACTCATTATTTTTTCTAAATAGCAGGACTGAAAAAAAAGCCAACATTCTGTACTGGGTTCTTACCTTGATCCACTCACACTCATGAAGAATTTTTTGAGTGAAGGAGTATAAAGCTTCCCATGACAGCAATGGGCAATGCACAGAGAAAGAGGGACTTGGCCTGCCAAGCCCTCCCCAAATGACCATGCAACTCATTTTCTGATGACAGAAAATTGAAAATGCGTAAGTCCTGAGCTTTTCCCTTTACAATGTGCCATTTGAAATAAAGAAGTCATCAGAAAAATGGATTCATTCTTACTAACCTGACACATACCATCCAGGGACTAGAAGGAGATAATTTGTCAATACTGTCAGCCAAATGCTGCTGTGGCCCCCATCTACTACCTAAGGTCTATTTTCATTTTACCCAATTGCATGATGTTTGTTTTTATTAAAATAAAAAATGGGATTATGATGCTCCCTAGAAAGTCATTTTGTCTCCTTCCAGCTGTTCAGTGACATACTTTTAACTTTGTAAAATCACTTGTTTATAATTTAAAGTTTAGTTATGGCATACATTGTTTACCTGTACCTAGTAGCAAATTTGTAGTGATGGGAGAAAGATCACCGAACACCACTAAGTCTTGCGAAGAAAGCACAATTAGTAGCAGCCCGTCCCCAGTTTTAGGAAATGTATGTTGTGCTTATAACAGTCAGGGTCCTGTAAATAATAGGAGGCATGTTCGTGATTTTATTATTTATTTTTTACTTTTTTCATGTTCATGATTTTAAATAGAAAGGGTACTTTACAGGGAATTCAGAACTTAAGCAATCATTAGAAGGTTGAGAACAGGTTCTACACTGATCTCCAGGAATGACTCCAAGGACAATTTTGCAGATGCTAGCTTCTAAGGACACCGAGTCAGGAAGCTGCAATAGCACCTGCCACCCCCCAGGATCACCGCAGATGTCGGACTTTAGCTGCTTTCCAAGCACCAGGAGGCCACACACTGCAGTTGTTGGCTCCAGGAAATTGTTGGCTACCTAGGCTTCGGTCTACTGAGGAGAACTTGAAGTCCCACCTCTTCAGGGCCATGCTGTGCCTGCCTAACCCACAAGAGGAGAATGGATGTCTCCTGCATCACTACTTCTCCCTCCCCTGAACTTGGCTCCACATACAGGTCTCACAAGCATGCATCTGACTGGCCAAACCTGAATGGTTTCTTAAGCTGTGTGAGAGCCTGGGTAATACAGATTTTGTTTTACTTTTCTAGTCTTTTTGATCCAGGAGAGCATGCTGATAGGAGGTTAGAACAGAGTTGAGGTACTTTACCAAATCTACTCCAATACCCATAGACTCATTTTCTACTACTGGTTAGCCATGCATAAATTCCTTCATAGTTTCCTATTTTTAAAAAATCTTTTATCTTTTTGGGGTTCTTATGCTAGTTTTCTTAAAGTCACTTGAGATTGTTCTATCTCTTCCATTTGTCAGGAGTAAATAGGTCCTGATATAGTAGGCAGAGTAATGTCTTCCTGCAAAGATGTTTATGTCATAATGCTTGGAACCTGGGAATTTGTTACATTACATGAAAAAATTAAAGTTGCAGATAGAATTACGGTTGTTCATCCCCTGATGTTAAAGCAGAGATTCTCGTGGATTATCCAGGTGGGCCTGATGTAACAACAAGGGTCCTTAAATGTGGAAGGGAAGTAGAAGAAGAGTTCAAAGCACTGCAGTGTGAGAAAGACTCACCCCGTCATTGCTGGCTTTAAAGACGGAGAGGAGCCATGAGCCAAGGAATATAGGCAGCCTCTAGAAGCTGGAAGGGCCAAGGTGGTGGATTCTCCCCAGGAAGGAGTCAGCCCTGTTAGCACCTAGAATTTAGCCCACCCAGAGCCAGTTCAGACGTCTCAACTACAAAACTGGAACAATAAGTTGGTGTTTTAAGCCACTAAGTGTGGGATAATTTGTTAAAGCAGCAATAAGAAACTAATACAGCTGATAGTTAAGACTGCTGGCTGCTTTTCTCATTGCTCCTTTACTCTCATGAGCTTTGACATTTTAGCTTGTGGGTTCATCTTGAGTGGGCTTTCCCCCTGCTCTTAATACTTTCCTCACCTTGTCAATCCGTTTGTGGAAACAAGGAAGCTCCTTGGGACCCCAGGTCATAACCTGGTAACTCCATGTCCAGTCCTACAGTGATATGGGTGCTGTCCCAGGGTAAGCCAAGGGGACCAGCGGGCAGCTCAGTCCAATTGCTGCCACAGTCAGGGAACAGCAATAGGAGCTTTTTCTGGCTCTTTTCACATATTAGAGAGCATGATTAACCCTTGATTATATGCAAGAAGTAAAGCTCTGGTCCCCAGCTGGGCACAAGGTGCTCCTGCCCAGGCTTTCCCACGGGAATCAGATCTTTACCCCTGTGTCTGCTTTAGTGTTAAAGCTCTGTAGGTCTCCAGCTCTTGATACACTTTCTCCTCTGTAGTTCTGTTTCTGGTCCATCAGAATGTTTAGCTCATTTTTTTTAGCATGGCCATACTTTTCAATTTATAATATATATGTAATATAATGTAATTTGTAAAATACATATGAAATACTGGCCACATATTTTGTCATTGCTGTGTTTGGAGAAGGGGAGAGAAATTCCAAGCACTACCTTGACCACAAGACTGCAATATGTAGGATGTATGATTTTTTTTTTAAGAAGTATCTATTCATTTAAGAGAGAGAGAGGGCGTGCTTGGATGTGTGCATGCTAATAAGCTGGGGGGGCGGGGCGCAGAGGGAGAGAGAGAATCTCAAGCAGATTCCCTGCTGAGTGCAGAGCTTGAT